TATTTATTCTAAACATCACAAATGCTTTGGTAAATATGAATAAATAGTAAGTATGAATTCGATTTTGAGGGAGAATTTAATATTATATGAATGCATAAATACACTGTCACTTATTTTATTTTTTAGATTACTTTTTATTGTGTTATTATTTGTTTTCGTTCATTGACTTCTGTTTTACATCATACTGTTGTGTAATACATATACAATACATAAAAACATCAAAACCTAAAAATGTGTATGTATTTAAGCAAGTTTTGATGTTTTTTAATGTATTGTACATAAATAATGTAATCACATGTAATGTAATCATAAAAAACATGTAATATTACTTTAGATATTGTTTATTTAATATTTGACAAGTCGTGCCAATACAGGTTATTTGGTGTATGAAATTGAATTGAGAGATATTGTTACAATTATAATTATTATTATTTTGTTTTATGTTTCCTTTTATCTATCTACATGTTGTAAATAAATAAAAGTTTTTTTTCTGAAATTAATGGATTTTAATTTAATTAAATGTTAAATTGAAAAAAATAATACGTATAGTTTTTGATTAAAAGTTTTCAATAAATAAATAAATCAATTTTAAAAATTATGTTTTAGTAGTTTTCATTTCATTAAAGTTATAAATTTGAATAAATATAATTTAACAATTTTATTTTAGCATTTGATGTATCTTTGGAAAAGGTTTAAAATTGATATGACCTAAAATAGCTAAGGTAAATAAATTTAAATAGTTAAAAAAATAAGTATAAGTTTTATAAAACATCAAAATTAAAATAGAATATTTAAATAAACATACTTTTGCAAAAAAAAAAATTATATATAATTTTTTTAGGGGTTTTCACTTTTATTGGGATAGGGCAGTGGAGATTTTTTACAGACAGAAAAGTGTGGTGAACAGAGATAGGGTAAGGATCGGCAAAGGACCTCAAGCCAGGAATCAAACTCAGGTCGGCGTGAGCACCTTGGTGCTGAGTCGACGCACTAACCACTAGGCTATTGGCGCCGACTTATTTTTGCAATTTTAATTTAATCTGTATTCATTGTATGACAATATGATGTAAATTTAAAAGCACTTAAATCTACTATTATCACAAAACACTGTTTTATATATTATTAATATAGTAAGATATAGGTCAAACAATGAGGGTAACCAAGCACGTAAAGACTAACTCTTTAAATCAAAAATCTAAATTGTAACATTTTAAATGTAAATAATAAAATATCTAGACAAATGTTAGTTAAAATTAAGAGTCTTCATTCATTCTCTTTTCGGCTTAGTCCTTACTGCATGGACTGTAGGAAACCCACGCCAACACAGGGAGAACATGTAAACTCCACACAGAAATGCACACTGACCCAGTCGAGGTTCGACCCAGGGACCTTCTTGCTGTGAGGCGACAGCACTACCTACTGCGCCACCTTGTCACTATGTAGTTTTTAGTTTAGTATGTAAATTAAAACCCAAAAAATAGTCATAAAGACTTACTTTTTAAATTAAAAATCAAATTTGTAACATTTTAAATGAAAATAAAATAACGTTTCTAGACAAATATCAATTACAATTAATACAGTTTTTAGTTTAGAATGTAAATTAAAACCCCAAAAATAAAAATATAAATAAATCTCTAAATAAAAATAAATAATTATTAAATTGCTAAAAATAAACAGATTAATTTAATTTTCTTGATTTAAACCTATTTATTTTCACAAAAGACTGTAAGATACATGAGAAAAATGAGGCTCAGACTGACTCTGGAGAGCAGGAATGTTCTGGAAACACTCGTTTATTATAGTTATTGAACTATAAAATAATAAAACATTAAAATAATCATTACACCATGTGCGTATAGACGTGAAAACAGATAAAGAAGGAGTGATAACAGCTATCTTCTGCACGTAATTCTGTGTTTATGATGCCGTTTATTGGTTCTGTGTCTGCGATGTCGTGCTTGTTAAACCACAGACACATTTGCTTAAAAATAACCGTATTAAATGTCTAATATATTGGTTTGATGGACACATGAATAAATGAATGATGAATGAATGAATGAATGAATAAAAGAATGAATGAATGAATAAAAGAATGAATGAATGAATGAAAGCATGAATGAATGAATAAAAGAATGAATGAATGAATGAATGAATGAATGAATGAATGAATGAATGAATGAATAAAAGAATGAATAAAAGAATGAATGAATGAATGAAAGCATGGAAACATTCTGTATTTATTTATAATAAAACACCTCTCAAAAATCATCTGCAATATTATGAAAACGTTAGTTTATGGTTATAAAAAATATTATTTTCTCCATACGAGAAATAAATCCATTAAATGTTCTCTGAATGTTATGTCTGCAATGTTCTGAAAACGTTTATGGTTAAAAAAAAAAATTGACAACAACTTGCTCCATATTATAAACAAATCCATCAAATGTTCTCTAAATGTTAGTTTATTGTTTGACATAAACATAACGCCAACAGTAGACTACAATTTGCTCCGTGATAGAAATAAATTCATCAAACATTCTTATAAATGTTAGTTTATGGTTAGTTTAGATGTCTGCAATGTTATGAAAATGTTAGCTTAAGGTTATTAAAAAAACATAACACGAAAACTAGACAATAATTTGCTCCATATGAGAAATAAATCCATCAAACGTTCTCTGAATGTTGGTTTATGGTGATTTTAAATGTCTGCAATGTTCTGAAAACGTTGCTTTATGGATATAAAAATACAACAGCAAAACAATGACTTTAAATTGCTCCATATTAGAAATAAATCCATCAAACGTTCTTTGAATTTTAGTTTATGGTTAATTTAAGTGTCTGCAATGTTCTGAAAACATTAGTCTATGGTTATGAAAACATAACATCAAAATAAAGACTATAATTTGCTCCGTATTAGAGATAAATCCATCAAACGTTCTCTGAATGTTCATTTATGGTTAGTTTAGATGTCTGCAATGTTATGAAAATGTTAGTTTAAGGTTATAAAAAACATAACACAAAAACTAGACTATAATTTGCTCCATATTAGAAACAAATCCATTAAACGTTCTCTGAATGTTAGTTTATAGTTAGAAAGAAACATAACACAAAGAATTGACAGAAATTGCTCTGTAAACTATTAGAAAAACCTGTTAATCAAACGTTTTGTGAACGTTCGTTCTAACAATGTTAACTTACAGTTAAAAAAATAATAACTAGAATGAGCGTTTGCTCTCTAAACTATAAGAATAAATGCATCAAACATTCTCTCAATGTTGGTATAAGATTAGTTTAGATGTCTGCATGTTCTGAAACCGTTACTTTATGATTAAAAATATCAACAATTTGCTCCATATTAGAAATAACTCCATCCAACGTTCTCTGAATGTTAGTTTATTATGAGTTTAGATGTCTGCAATGTTATGTAAATGTTAGTTTAAGGTTATAAATGAACACAACACCAAAATAATTACTAAAAATTGCTCCACATTAGAAATAAATTCATCAAACGTTCTCTAAATGTTAGTTTATGGTTATTTTAAGTGTTTGCAATGTTATATGGTTATAAAAACATAACATCAAAATAATGACTATAATTTGCTCCATATTAGAAATAAATCCATCAAACGTTCTCTGAATGTTAGTTTGTGGTTATTTTTAACGTCTCAAATTGTTAGTTTACAAAAAAAAAAAAACACCACAAAAAAGAAAGCAATTTGCACCATAAACTGTAAATAAAATCAATCAATCAAGCGTTCTTTAAATATTAGTTTATGTTTGTTTTATGCTTATTAAAAAAACTAAAATGAAAACAACTGACTTTAAAAATCTATAATATAATCATTAATTAACAGTACAGAAACCTCCACTATTAGCATTCTGTGTATGTTCAGTTTACGGTTTCCAACATAAATAAAACATTAACTTCCTGTTACAGAAAGTATTGAGCCACAAAAAGCCCAAAATGGCGATGGGAGGTGTTATTTACTTCACAGTGGATGTGTTCTGATTTTCTGCTGTTGAATAAGCAGGTTTAAGGTCAGCTGCTCATTTTTCCATTGTGGGTCACAAAGTGCAAAAACTCCCCCTCCCCCATTCTCTGCGGCTGCGTCTCAATCCCTACCGCAAGCCCTACATAGACAGCATGAAAGAAACTATCCTCAATTCGACTTCAAGGTTACCTTTTCAGTAATTTTACAAATTGTAATTATGCAAATGAGAATTGTTGATTTAGACAATTATATTATTTGTGGATTTAATTTATGCATTTAATTTGAAATTGTTAAATTTTTCCATTGGTTGGAATAGAATAAACTGTGAACAAGTGTGGAGGTAATTTACTAAACAATCAGATTTACTAAACAACCTGCTGAATGATAAAAAGATCAAAAATCATAATGTTTATACATTAATTTATTAATAAGCTATTTTTATAAAGAATTTTATATATTTTTAATACATATAATATATATTGTTTTGCATTAATAAAAACCCTGGCAGTTAAAATATTTCAAATAATAGATTTTAAATTTACTTTGTGTAAAATATATACATTTTTACAACCAAATATGTAATTAAAATGTTTAATTTAATTAAAAAAAACATCTATAATGTAGGCTAAATAATTATAATAGCTAGCTAAATGAATTCTTAAATATGAAAAGTAAATAGCGTTTGATTAATAAATGAAATACATTTTAATAAATAATTACAGAAGGCAAAACTTAAATAGTAGTATTTCAATACATTAAATGTGGCCATTTAATATGTGTATACAAACGCTTTATTGTTTAAATTATTATAATAATCAATATAATTAATATTTTTTAACATTTTATTTAAAAATGCCTCATTTTAACTGTGTGAACTAATATACATAGCGGAAGTAGTGCGAGTAGTATGTAGTCTAGTTAGGGATCTTGGTATGAGTGAGAACACGCCCCGCCTCTCTCTCTTTCTGCTCTGTAGTAAGTGTGTGTGTTGCTGTCTTCCGACGCTCCATTCTCATATAAACACAGGAAACTTGTGTAAAAATACATATAATTCACATTTAATCGTGATTTGACGCACACGGGAGCGCGCTTATTTCTACACATCGACGTTTTAACGGACCGGCGCCGGTAACGAAGACTGAAGATGGGTTTAAAGTCGCAGTTTTCACACTGAAGTTGGTGGATATTGCCAAGTGGAAGTGAAAGAGCGTGAATTTCGAGGGTAAGAAGAAGCCATTGTGCTTTCATTTCAACTTTTATTCCGTGTGTTTGTGTCGTAGATGGCTGTGAGGAAACTAGCGTAACGTTTGAATGACTCTCTGCCGCGAACTTTACCACTCACTCGAAGTCTCTTTCTCCCGGTGTTTTGTGCTCATTTACGGCTTTAAAGAGCGCTAATGTCAGTATTCACCGGTGGGCACTCGGTGAAGCTCAGTTTGTGTTGTTTTTGTGCGGTAAAAACGGTTGAAATAAGCGGGAGATGCAGCCAACATCAAGCCGGTAGAAGCAGCACATGTTTGGGGTGGGGGAGGGGCGACCGGCCGGCTTCACCAGTACTACAGCTAGTTTAAAGTGATGCTAACTATTTTTGCTAACTATCTACTAGTTGAGATTGAGGTGAAGTTGGTTTAATATTCGCACATTCGTTCAGTAACAACGTGTGACATACTCCCTCCCATGTTTACATTGGTACTTTGAATATTGGGTTTAAATAACATGCAAGTATGACTTCAAATCAGCATTATCACTATTCATTTGAATGTGAAGCATGGTACTTTGATAGTCATTGACTACTAATAAGACTTCACTATTTAGAATGGGCAAAGAGTACTTTAATGAAATGATATTATAAATGAGAAAGTCTTAATGTGTGAAGATAAAACCTTCTTTACCTCAATCTATATAGTATAGAGTATGGAGGTAAAGTTAGATAGTATAGAGGTAAAGTTGTTTATGTATTTGGATATTCAGACATTCTCCTTAATAATGTAATTTCAGAAAATAAATATTTGCAAATTCTAAATAGGGAAATCATATTAGCAGCAAATGACTATCAAAGTACAGCATTGTTCACAGTGAATTAGATAGTGTTGATGTTATTAAGAAGTCATACTTGCATGCTAACTCTGATCGAATATTCAACGTAACATGGTAAACAATATATAGACTGCTAAATGAACGAATGTGTGAATATAAAACCAACTTCACCTCTAAAAATTTAATAGTTACAAACACATGCTCACTCAAAACACAAAGGGATGACTATATTATATATTTTACTCAAATGTGCAACGGATTGTTTGAAAATGTTGATTTTGAGTTAAAATATGTGAACATCAGTATATCCTTATGTGAAAAAATAGTGTAACGTTTGTAATTAGTTTTTTACTGTATGTATTTTAGTTTACAACCAGTTTGTTTTAGCCTACAGTACTATTAACTATAATGAACTGATTAATTGTAATGAATACTGTAGCATGTTTTAGTTTTAACTGCAGTAAACCGTGGTGTATTTATGTATAGTATAGCATATAGTTGTAGAAAACTACTGTACTAGGTCATTTTTTTTAAATTACTGTGGTTATTATATACAGCAGGGGTCACCAACCCTGTTCCTGGAGAGCTACCTTCCTGCAGATTTTAGTTGCAACCCTGACCAAACACACCTGTTTGTAATTATCAAGTGCTGCTTTAGGTACTATTAATTGGTTCAGGTGTGTTTGATCAAGGTTGGGACTGAATTCTGCAGGAAGGTAGCTCTCCAGGAACAGGGTTGGTGACCCCTGATATACAGTGTATCCGGGAAGTATTGATAGCGCTTCAGTTTTTCCACATTTTTTAATGTTACAGCTTTATTCCAAAATGAATTAAATTAATTTATTTCCTCAACATTCTACACACAATTCCCCATAATGACAATGAGAAAACAGAGTTTTTGAAATTGTTGCAAATTCTTAAAAATAAAAAAGCTGATAAATCGGATGTACATCAGTATTCACATCCTTTGGCGTGAAGCTGTAAATTGAGCTCAGGTTTGTTCTGTTTCCACTGATCATTCTTGAGATGTTTGAGCAGCTTCATTGGAGTTTACCTGTGCTCAATTCAGCTGATTGGACATGATCCGAAAAGGCTACACCTGTCTATATAAGCCCCCAGGGTTGACAGTGCATGACAAAGCACAAACCAAGCATGAAGACATGCAGTTAGTTAGTTTACAACCAGTTTGTTTTAGCCTACAGTACTATTAACTATAATGAACTGATTAATTGTAATGAATACTGTAGCATGTTTTAGTTTTAACTGCAGTAAACCGTGGTGTATTTATGTATAGTATAGCATATAGTTGTAGAAAACTACTGTACTAGGTCATTTTTTTTTAAATTACTGTGGTTATTATATACAGCAGGGGTCACCAACCCTGTTCCTGGAGAGCTACCTTCCTGCAGATTTTAGTTGCAACCCTGACCAAACACACCTGTTTGTAATTATCAAGTGCTGCTTTAGGTACTATTAATTGGTTCAGGTGTGTTTGATCAAGGTTGGGACTGAATTCTGCAGGAAGGTAGCTCTCCAGGAACAGGGTTGGTGACCCCTGATATACAGTGTATCCGGGAAGTATTGATAGCGCTTCAGTTTTTCCACATTTTTTAATGTTACAGCTTTATTCCAAAATGAATTAAATTAATTTATTTCCTCAACATTCTACACACAATTCCCCATAATGACAATGAGAAAACAGAGTTTTTGAAATTGTTGCAAATTCTTAAAAATAAAAAAGCTGATAAATCGGATGTACATCAGTATTCACATCCTTTGGCGTGAAGCTGTAAATTGAGCTCAGGTTTGTTCTGTTTCCACTGATCATTCTTGAGATGTTTGAGCAGCTTCATTGGAGTTCACCTGTGCTCAATTCAGCTGATTGGACATGATCCGAAAAGGCTACACCTGTCTATATAAGCGCCCAGGGTTGACAGTGCATGACAAAGCACAAACCAAGCATGAAGACAAAGGAACTGTCTGTAGACCTCAGAGACAGGATTGTCTGGAGGCACAAGGCTGGGGAAGGTTACAGAAACATTTCTGCTGCTCTGAAAGCTCCAATGAGCACAGCGGCCTCCATCATCAATAAGTGGAAGATGTTTAACCACCAGGACTCTTCCTAGAGCTGGCCGGACATCTAAGCTGAGTGATCGGGGGAGAAGAGCCTCAGTCAGGGAGGTGATCAATAACCTGATGGTCACTCTGTCTGAGCTCCAGCGTTCTTCTGTGGAGAGAGGAGAACCTTACAGAAGGACAACCATCTGTGCAGCAATTCACCAATCAGGCATCTGTATGGTAGAGCGGGCAGACGGAAGACACTCCCCGCCTGGAGTTTGCCATCTGAAGGACTCCCAGAGCATCAGAAACTAAACTCTCTGCTCTGATGAGACTCAAACTGAACTGTTTGGAGTGAACGCCAGGCGTTACGTGTGGAGAACAGCAGGCAGCGCTCATCAGCAGGCTAACAGCATCCCTACAGTGAAGCATGGTGGTGTTGGCATCATGCTGTGGGGATGTGTTTCAGCAGCAGGAGCTGGAAGACTAGTCAGGATAGAGGGAAAGATGAATGCAGCGATGTACAGAGACATCCTGAATGAAGACCTGCACAAGAGTGCTCTCCACCTCAGACTGGGGCGACGCTTCATCTTCCAGCAGGACAATGACCCAAAACACACTGCAAAATAATTAAGTTATTTAATTAAGTCAATTAAGTGTCCTCACAGCAACTCAGTGGCAATTTCAAAAACTTCACATTGTCATTATGGGGTATTGTGTGTAGAATTTTGAGGAAATAAATGAATTTAATTCCTTTTGGAATAAGGCTGTAACATAAAAGAATGTGGAAAAAGTGAAGCGCTATGGACACTTTCCGGATGCACTGTACACTGTATTATATTTTAGTTTAAACTGCAGTAAACTGTGGTGTATTTATGTATAGTATAGCCTATAGTTGTAGAAAACTTCTGTATTGGGTCATTTGTTTATATTACTGTGGTTATTATATATGGATATATTATAAGACTGCACAATATATCGTTTCAGTATCGATATCACATTGTAAACATTCGCAAGCCACATCTCGAGCATACACAATGTTAAGTCTGGATTTATTTGATCATTTCGCGAGTGTTTGGCCTGTGACTGTGTAAGGGGTTGTGAGAGCATTCAGGCAAAATAAATAGTACAATTTTTTAACTTTAACAAATTAAAATTAATAAATTACATTGAATCGTTTATAAAACAGACTATGCAATATTAATGTACATTTGATTATTCAATTACTGTATACCTGAATACAGTCAACTCGCTGTTTGCATAATTTGTATCTTTTATTTTATTTAATTTATCTTTGCTCGTAGATTGTTTCTCTTATCTTATGCATATGCACTGTCCTACAGAATCATCCCAATCAATCTAAAATGATTAATTCTTTCCAAATAATTATTCAACACATCTAGTATGTTTGCTACTGTATGTTAAATAGTTCACAACGCTTTAGTTGTAGAATACTGTTGTATTAAATATAGTGAACTGATGAACCGATAAATAATGTAGTATATTTTAGTTTTTACTTCAGTAAACTGTGGTATATTGTTGTATAATATACTCTACAAAAAACTACAGTATTGGCTGATTCGTTTTTATTTCTTTTATACATTGTTTGAACTGATAAGACTTCAAATCACAAAGGAATGACAATAAAAACACTGAAAAAGTTGATTTTGAGATAAAATGTGTTATAATATCAGTATTTTCCCGCATAAAAAAATACTTAAGTAATTTTTAGGTAAACACTGTACTCATAACATACCATAATAAATGTGTTGAACTTTATATATTAAATTTACAACACCTTCTGATGAGTGCTTCAGCATACTGTAATTTTAACTATAGTCAATTGATCAACTGTACTAAATTCTGTAGTTTACTTTAGTTTTTTACTACAGTAAACTGTGGTGTATTGTAGTGTAATATAATCCATAGTTGGGAAAACTACAGTGTTGGGTCATTTGGTTATATTACTATAGTTGTTGTGTTACTGTTGCCACAAAAGAGGAACTGTTTAAATGGATATTGATTTTATTTGTAAGCAAAATGTAATTTCTCATAGCTTATTTATGCAGGTTTTTGGGGAAAATTGTCAAAATATTTAACAAAACTTACAGGAAATAGGTAGTCTTA